CAGTCTGGAAATAATTGTAACGTTTATTCGATTCTCATTTAAAGACCATCTGTAATCTAGATATAGTAACCAACTGACAACATGGTTATTCAAAACGTGACCCAGTTGTCAGACATGGAACAAACAACGAGTTGCAACGTTCCCCGTGCTTGGTTCCGAGTTCATTCGGAGATGTCATGTCAGTGAGAACTAGTCTTGTTGAAAAGGACGAAAGGATGCACGTTCGGTAGATAGCAGCTGTCAGGTGCGGAATGGGTCTGGGGAGGAGGAGAGGAAATGAGGGGTCGGTGAGTTTAGTCATTTGGCCAAGTCTACAGAAAGATAGAAGGTAATATATGCCCTGGTGGGTCAGTAAGACCAGTTCAAAAGTGATATTTAAAAATATCTTGAGGTTTGTAATAGGGGAGGAACGGCAGCGCGCAATATATATGTACATATATGTCTACCATTCGATGATAAATTTAGAGAACACAGGACTGGATCTCCTAGAGGTTCGAGGTTAAGCTTGATACATGGTGGACTAATACACGCGTAGCACTCTGCGGGCCTTCAGGAGCCAATCGAACATGCATTTAAAGACGCACTGCATTATATTGTCATGTATTATATCATATATTATCATATTACGTTATGCCGTATTATATTATATCATACCATATATTATATCATGTATTATATATTTGCATACGATATTTTATTTTATCAATATACTACATTGTATTATATTGTAAGTATGTTATAACATTACAACATGTCAACGAAATGGTTATTCACCAGTCTGCCAGCCTTTGTACATCACGCCTTTCGGCCAGACGAGTAACTAGCGTTTCCCCATCTCCTTTATCCTCGGTCGAGGAAACTGTAGTAGCAGGAACTCCTGTACACTGGTACACCTCTTTTAGATGAATGACGAACTGATTGACTGTTCCGATATTACGTAAAAGTATAGTTGGTAAGTAGTCGAAAACAAGTAAGACAGCACAGTGTAGTAGTATTAGTGATGGTTTGACCCTGTATACTACTGATGATACATGCGAGTAGTCTATGGGTTTATGTCCAAGCTCCTCCGCCGTATCCGATGGAGGGCGAATTTTTTACGGAAACTGTGGAACTGCTCTGCAGCATTCGTTTAATAATGTGTAATATCCACGAATGTTTAGGGCAACACGTGAGAATATTCAGTTTTTAAAAACTCTGTGCAAACGAGGTGTTTACTTCCGTGTCCAGTGGCTTTTACTGCTTTATTGTGTAATATCCACGAATGTTTAGGGCAACACGTGAGAATATTCAGTTTTTAAAAACTCTGTGCAAACGAGGTGTTTACTTCCGTGTCCAGTGGCTTGTAACTGCTTAGTTTGCTAACAAACGATTTCGCACTGAAGGGCCTTTCTCCGTTTACTAGCAGTGCGGTATATTGGACATGAACCAAACGAGGAATTTCTCATCTGTTTTCTGCGTTAGTTTAAGGTGAAACGCGTGAAACTTTTATTCGGAAAGTAGACGAGCCTTGTTGTAGACATTTTAAGCTCCAGATTTTACCAGTGATCCACTCTGATTGTAAGCGGCGATCTGCACGGGTAAGAACACTATTCACAAGTCATCTACCGCCTTTACTTTAGCTGTGAATTTATAAAACTATAAAATTAGTTTCAGTGTAAAGGACACATATGCTGACAACGCTGGAGCTCGTGCGCGTACCACAGCCTTGAGAACTTTAATTGGGCCTCTCTGCTCATCTCTCCTAACAAGTGAAAACATTCAGGTATTGTAACCTATCTCGGCCCGATCCATTCCGAATTCATCCTCTCCAATGTTACATGTTAAACAGGCCAGTAGGGCCTATTTGCTGACAAAAGGCTCTAAAAGTGAAAGCATTTGTCGCAAGATAAGACGAGGATGGCCACAGTCGGTCACTCGAAACTTCGTGTCTCCCTTTTTGACCAGGTACTGGGCTTGTCGACGGTGCTAAATAAAGCACTGAGACTAAGACAGATTCCTCACCCTTCAACAAATCATATTAGATCAACCATCTTAAGATTCATTGAGGGAAATCAAACAAATTGGTCAGATTTTATTCGCTAAATTTGTGTTTTGGCTAGCCGCACTAGCGACCGTTAGGTAGTCTTCAAAGTTAGAAAACTGCATTTGAACTTCTCTGTGGGAGCTTAAAATGGCATGTCTAAGTTTATTATTGGAGTGCGCTGTGGTCCAGCGAGCTATTCTTACTGGAACTGACATTCTGCTTGGAGATATAGGTGATTTTAGGTGGGACTTTTTGTTCCGTCCTTGTTACAAGGAAAGCTGACAGTTTCCTGTCTCGTCTTGCCTGATTATGAAAGCTTCCAATGGCTATATAGTGTCCATCAACGACGGAAGGCGAGTGGATGCATTTTGCACACGTTCGTTGGGTCAGATTGACGGAAGATCAACAGATGTGAAGAATCTGACAAACTTGGTCATTCAATTGGAAAATGTTTGGGACGATTGGGAGGTCATCGTTCAGAGGGGGTTTGTAAACAATCGGTGAATTTATTGCTGGGCAATGTTTCGCTTTTGACACAAAAGCTTCGTCAGGCCAAGTGAGTAAGTAAACAGGTTGATTGGGTTTTAAGGCAGTCAGGGAACCAATCCGTGAGATTTCTTATGACTAGCCGACTTTATCACTGCTGGGTGTCTAGTCTGATGTTCCTGTTTGTTGGTTTGTGGGGATGACTAACATCTACCATAGACTGGTTAGGGGGAAGTTGTCTTCATGTTGAACCCGGATTTTTCATGCTTACTTTTTAATTCTTGGATACCTTAATGGAATATTTCTCTTGGGGTCTTTCGCATGTGTTCGTCGAAACCTACCGGGACAACTGGTTTGTGGATGGGAAGGTGGGGTTGGATCTTGCTCTACTTGGATTTTGGGCTTTTAGACCCAGACCATTTCGCTGATAACTGCACACCGCCTCATGTCATCTCGGCTGATCTACAACAGCTCTCCACACGCTTGCAAGTTTTACGGCTTCTATTCTATTCACGCTGGGATGCTTGGCGATTTCCACCGCCTCGGCCATCAGTCGCTGCAGTGTGAATATTAAACTCCGTCTCAGGATGTCCATATTTTCTAAATCTTTCCTATGCCCATTACCTATTGCATGCCCTGCCATTGCCGAATCTTCAACTATCGCCTGGTATTTATCTCCGTTTCTCGGTGGTCTGTTAATGGACCGCTTATGCTCACCGATTCTGGTGTGCAATCCCCTGGCTGTCTGACCCTTCGTACAGTCGGTACACTGTATGTTGTATACACAGTTCCTAGTCCTCTCAACCGGAAGGCGATCTTTTGAATGCACCAACATCGAGCGTAAAGTTTCCCCCCTCTGGAATGCTACTCTAATGTTAGCCGTATTTACTACCCCTCTAATGACTTCAAATGTCCCTGTTTTGTATGGAATGGACAAACAAATAGGTAAGTTCGAGAAATTGCTTTCTACGACTCGCTAGAGTAAGTCACCTGCTAGCTATTGCAGCGTAGTCAATTTATCAGCTAGACCCCTAATTGAATAGGAACGTTGTCTGTTAGAGAAAGGATTGAATTTTGCAGTAAGTAAAGCAGTTATAAAGGCAGATGAGATCATTTCTAGTATTGAGTCTGTGTTTCAGAAGCTTCCTTTAATGCTGTGCCCGACGAATTGGGCCAAAACTTACACGTGGCGTACCGATGGATGGGCGGTGTAATCACAACAGCTAGGCAGACATCTAAATGCCCGTTATATACACCTCCTCCCCCGCGCTGTCTGCCCAGTTGAAGAGAGTCAGCCCGTGTGCATACCGTCAATCCAAATGAGGAGATGGTGGATCAGTGAGCTGGTTCACTTGGATTACTTCTTCATCTTTGACCCGTCACATCACAAAAATGCTGCAGCTGTTTGGTTGTCGGTAGAGCTACTTGACGTGCTAGACATGTTTGGGTTGGCCGACTGCAGGAGAACAAAGGTGGCATATGTGCCAAAATTAACATCGATCGATACTCGTGATTTGGTTGAGGTGGACTCGGTAAGAGGCTGTGCGCCCCAAGTGCTGACGTAGGCTAATGCAAACTGATTAGATTCTCTATTGTTCTCTGCGACGGACACATTAATGGAGCTCTAATTGACCGCTCAACTGCTTAACGGTTTGTGAAGCTGCTGCCTCCGAGGTCCAAGGAACCGTCAGCCCCGCCCACATTTGCTTGGGTTAAATTTGAGCTAAATTTACGCGTGCATGTCCATAGGCTTACTGCTTCAGTCTATACAGTAGCAAAACACCCACACGCATCTACGCCTACTCTGTGGATAGAAACTTGAGATTGTTATCTTGACTTTGATTGTACGGGATGGAATTTCCCACTTCATGTCACTCACGGTTCACTCAACCTAGTGAAATTTCTGCCTGACAGAGAATGTCGGCTGTATGCTTGGGACGGTGCGCTAGATGAGTTGCAGTTTCCCCTTGCTGGGGAGGCTGCCCCCAGTCCTAGAAAGTAACAACGTTTTGTGGATTCCTTGAGGGGGTTTTGTTGACTTTTAAAATCCCAAGGATGCCATCCATCACTTAACATGGTCCCTGGATCAAATTTTGAGTGACGAACAAGTCAGGTAGAGTAACGAGGCTAAGGACGAATAATCAAGTTAGTTCACTATCTCGTCATCATTATCCGAAGTGGATTTGAAAAGTACCAGCCAGGGAGCTTTGGACTTCATCGGACTTAGATCGAGTAAACAGCGTTTATCTGGCTGAGCTAAATTACAAAATATTATCGAGGAATACACTCATTTGCAAATCAACTAGGTTTTCACGAGAGACTCAACTGAATTTCTCGTTTATGATATTCTAAAATTGACTGTGCTGCACACAGGCCGCCCCATGATTCAGAAATAGCAGTATATTTTCATAAAGGAAACTACTCACATGGTTGCTGAAAACTCTTCGACAGCCCACGACTGGTTTCACCCTCCTTAAGGCTCGTCAGATAGGCGCAGTCCCCGAGTATCTGTCAACCTTATGTTCTACTTGAACCCAAATTGAACTGTTTTCGTGACTGCGCCTACCTGATGAGCCCCAAGAAGGACGAAACCGGTCGTGGGCTGTCGAAGAGATTTCAGCAACCTTGTGCGTAGATTCCTTTACAAAATATTATGTTAAAATTATTTCTGAGAAGTATGTATATCTTCTCGTAACCGTTTGAATATTCCCACAGTGACATTAAGAGAGAAAATGGTTGATAGACTAATATGGTCAGTGGGACTCGTCCTGAGGTGTCTACTGTTTACGTGGTAGTAGGTTGTGGAAGAGTGTAGTTTCGCCAAAAAATATATACCACGATATCTTGAATATTTTACCAACTGAAACATAAGGTGGCCTTGTACAGCACGTTCAGTTGAAAAGAACATCCCGTCAGAACCAAGTTAATGTGCAAACTAGTGTGTTCTACCAATGGTGTCCAGTTTTGGTTCAAGTAGATCACACGTTTGACGAAAACTCAGAGACTCAGCAGGAAGAAGGTCAAAACCGCTTGCGGACTGTCAAGTTTGCGACTGGTGTGTTCCATCTAGAAAAGTACACCAGCTTGTTTTTTGACGTGGACAACCATCTTATCTATTTTACTTCAGATAGAGCGTCTTGTAAGCAGCGGAACAGAATACCAGATTTCCAGCTTACGTTACCTGCAAAATCAATTTTAATTCAAGTCTATGCTGAAATGTAGACTCATTGAATTGGACTTCTATTCCAACCCAGCGAACTGTTTTTCAATTACTTTAGCTCTGAATCGTTGCATTAGTTTCAACTCGAGAGCATGTGGATAGCAAATGCTTCTAGATCCGATCTGGGAGATTATACACCGAAGGCGGCCTTTACATGCGAGGCGAAGGACGAGATCGCTAAACCGCTGTGCTTGCTATGAAGCTATTCTATGCTGAAATGCCAAGAAACAGCTGTTTGATCCTTAATGGGAATCACTAGCAGTGCGCATCTCACGTGACTCCAAAAAGTCTCAGACCCATGACCACCCGGCCAGTAGTCTGAATACCCACCAGTTCAAGGCTCTTTTCCTTTTTATTTGCTTGACAGTATTTAGAGTCAGGTGTTTACTTTCGCGTGTTGCGACCACCGCTAGCTTATTCCTTTCAAACAGCTCATCATCGATGAGACATACAACTTATCTGCTGTTCTCCTACCAACTACCCCCCTAACGACGGGTAATTTTTTTATTGGAGCAGTTTGCCGGGAAGGAACAAGGAACAACAATTCCCGGGTTTTATTTAGCGTAATCCTCCGCGAACGTGGTGTGTGACGGAGTAGGGAACGGTATCGATGGATTGTGCCTGAAGGAATGATTACCAGTTGGCTTTATCACGCTGTAGACGACCTGATGAACAAGCTTTCAATCTTGGGAAGCAATCAGGACAGTCCCTTCTCCCAAAAAGTCAAGTTAAAGACATACTTCAGAAACTAGGACCATTCTGGCCCGCAGACAAGTGCGTACACGCACACACGTGTGTTATTTCAGCTCGACTGCTTATCGGTCATGGCAACCAGCTTTGATGCAGAGTTGCTAGGATTTAGGCTCGATCAGTGTTCACCAGGTCGTCTTATTTTGGGCTGTCATCTAAGTGCAACGCTGCTACAGTGAGTCATCAAACAAAATTCGTCACCCAGCGATGTCGTGACCTTTTGAGAGAGGTTTCCAGTCTCGTTTCGTGTCACTGACATCTCAGCGATCTGATGACGTCATCTCGGTTACCGATGCGCCGTTTTAATTCCAGTGTTAGGCTCGGAACAAACAAGATCGTCCTCGCAACACTCACACGTGGCAAAACCATCACTGTGCGCTCTGGTTTGGGAAAACCATATGCTCTGAGCTGGATTCTTGTCACCCGTTCGTAAATAGCGACACATGGAAGGTTATGTTCGAAGATAGCGGAGAATGCGACACGCACAATGGAGCGAAGGAACTGAGAGTAACTCCTCTTTATAGCATCTGCCCTCTTTTTTGAATCAGTCTGAACTGCTAGCTATTTTTGCTGACCCTTTACTGTTCAAACTACTGGCCAATCAACGCAAATTTTGTGCATGTGTACGCCAAGTAGATTGATCGATCTCAATGTGCTCCACAAAAGCCTCCGCTCTGCCCCTGTCTTGGAACGATAAGTAAAATGCCCTCAGCTCCTAACAGGATCAGACGGTTCTGGCTATTTGGGCCCTGATATTCCTCAACCCATCTATTACTAGGAATCAATAAATGCGGACACTCCGTTCTTAGCTTTGATGAGCGAGAGTGCTCCAAAGGTCATAATCAGTTCTATTGGTTACTTCAGACGCAACTTACTGGTCACAACAGATGACCTTGACAACTGTGCGCCATAGGCAAATGCGTGGTCCTATGAATTACACGTGATTCGCCAAAACGGTCAGACTTAGGTTGCAAAATATCACGTCACCGTTAATTGGGGAGCTCCTTTCTGCTGAGAATGAAGTAAAGGTTGTTCAAAGAAGTCATGCGGGTGGTTCTGAGTTAAGGCAACACTGCCGACGACCATCACCTTAGAGGTTACATTGTGGTAGAAATTAAATGAAGTCGCAGAACTTTTTATTTACCACTTCCTGAATTTAAGCAATGTGCGTATCAGTCCCTTCGCCCTTAAATTGCATCAGTAAATATGCAGAGAATATTGATAGGTCAGGTTGTGATGATGACCACAGATTTGTTCGGTGAGCAATGCAAGTCGGTTGCAAGACTTTCGTTAGCTGTTGAGACGGTGACTTAAGGGTAGTGTAGATGTCCAGCCCTTGGATGGGCGTGCGCCGGCCGCTGTGCTTGCGCGTGCTGATATGGGGTCCGCTCTCCCAGACCGACCCTGACTGATCATTGGTCGTTTGGGTGGGTGTTCCCCCTAGCACACACTGCCGATATCCTCTCGGATGACGAGACGCCTGTAGGCCAGCTGTCAAGGTCGAAGAACAGCCGCCCTATCAACTACCGGTAAACGCACTGGAGCCACCAATATCCCGGTACATTTCCATGCCAACTATGCTTAATCATACTAGCTAACGTTCCTTATGTGATGATAAATTGAAGGACAACTTACGATACAACTCATAGGAATGACAAGTAACGGTAAACTGGTTCTAGAACCACAAGAACAGTCGTGTAGTACTTGCTTCAGTGGTTGAGATTCAACTTATGAATTGAACCATTCCTAGTGTATTGCCCAATGTACGAGAACTGCATTTCAAACACCTTCAAATAGGGTGGGGTTATTTCATAAACTACAAAAGAGCAAAACAAATTTGGAAAAAAAATTGTGTACCTGACTTAAGTCTCATTCGGTTTTCACCCAAATCAACGGCTTTGGTCGATTCTGCTGACAAGATACCTCCCTCTCCCGAAAGAACCATTCTGGCGAAGTTCCATGGGTGGTCTCTGTTGAGGGGTCGCTGCCTCCACACACACACACACACACACACACACACACACACACAGAGCTCCCATACTGGCCGTCACCAGAGCATACCAACGTGCGGAAGCCAAGTCGTTTACTGGAAAACGAGCATCTCCAAGGCTTAGTTTATTCGCTTCATCATTTTATTGGGTGGTAAGTCTTCTTCATTGCACCAGAAGATCAGCTAAACTGTCCACGATCATAAATGAGAATGCATGTTTTACGGTTGGTTGATCCGTTTATAGCTGCGTGCGGTTTCTTCAGACTAGTTCACAGTCATCACCCGACTCCTTCTCCCACAGTTGTAGACTTAACCAACTCTATGGGACGTGTGGATTGAATGAACACAGAAGCAATAGATATGTATGCCGTGTCCAATGGTTTGGACCGAAATGAAGATTAGGGGTCTGATAATCGTCACGACACCTCTTCCTGTTCCCAGAATTAGCTGATCGGACCACGTTTACGCCAAATTTGTCTTTGCTCTTCCCCATACAAGAAACTATCGTCTACGCATGCGAACTTATCCATTTGAACAACATTCCATTGCCGAAATTAGAACAATCTGTCTTGTGGTCTACAGTGAATGGGCGATTCTCGTTTAATGGCACACTTTATCGGCAAACAGATCTCTAGTTCCGATTCTAGCTAATATGCTTACGCCGAAATTGGAAAACGCGTTATTTAGGGAAGAAAACCCTTCCGTGGGACTTTATCTGATAGATTTATTTGAGATGCGTTGACGTCACGCTGATAATACTTGCTCAAATTACAGTTCTCATGACGGTACCTGATACAATTAAGAATCCTTACTGGACCAAAAAATTTATTTCCTCACCAGATCAAGAAAAAAAAACTACCATTCTAGGACGCCCCGTCATTTGATGAAGTGTCAGAAGAGTACGACTTCAGCAATTCGAGAAACAAAGTTCCCCACTTTGGTCACCTTGAAAGTGGAATGAGACTTAACAGTGTGTCAGTATCGTACGTCGTAGAAGAGATTCTCAGGGGAGAGGAATTATTGCCTGCGACAGAACCGATTTCTTGTAAGGAATATGAGACCGAGTAGCCACATAATCAACTACACCGGTGAATTCCCTTTCACTGTGACACAACTATTGAACCAGTGAATCATAAACTCAGCAAGGTCCCTGTTGCGGCTTGATTGGACGATAGTGCAACTTTGTATCGGTCCCTTGGCTTCCTGCTCCGCCCACTATGGTATATCAAAAGGCACGGTAGCTCTACACAGCCCCTTTTGGAGACAAAGGAAAACTATTACAACTGTAGTCACAGTGTTCCACAAGGTCGTGCCAGAATCTTCGTGAGGGCGCGAGAAGCGTCGCGTCCCATGTGTTTGACTCGGATTGGCTGGCATTCTAACCACTCAGGACATGTCTTCGTTTGGCCCGTGTCCTGCACGTGACACATCCGTCCAAATGATGTGGTGTTCGGCTATTAGGGGCGGCTGGCCTCCGGCTAGTCTTTAAATCACGTTATTTGCTGCTCAGCTCCATTTAACCTTCATCACCCCATTGTTCGGTTATTGGGAGCGACTGGCCTCCGTACAGTCTTTAAATCACGCACGTCAACAATGTAACTCTGGAAATATTTGTCAGCTGTCCTTTCTTGATCAATTTGACCCGGCAGGGCCTTGCTCAGTGCAAAAATTACCTAAGGAAAATGAATGAATTTGGAAGCATGTAAACAATGCAAACCGTTTTGCACAAATGCTTCGTAGTTTTTTTTAATATCGAAAATAATAACGTGGCTTCAAGCTCAAGCAGGATAAGGGTTTTTCTTCCGTACCATGTGGAATTTTGAGCAGGGACCTTCGTAGCAAAACTTCTTGGTGACCCCTCACTCTGTGGGACTGGGCAAAGAGACACTTCTCAATAAGGACACAATTGGAGACATCTCACATTCAAGGTATTTTCTACGGCTACCGTTAAACCGGCTAAACCGAACTAGAGGAATTACGCACAGACCCATATCACTGGAAAGCCTTCTCGAAGGAACGCTGTGCTGCCGAATGACGGTTTTTTTCAAGCTGTGATGACCAGTCATTCATCTAGCTTCGTGTGCTCGTTGATCGATCAATCTGGTTAGCTAGTATATTGGTACGTTGTATTTCTACAATACATTGTGAAGACAGGCCATTGGGTGAATACATCACATCAACCCGATCCACCTTGCCCCAAGCCGGTCTGGTCGGTAATCACAACAGGTCGTGTTTTCCTGAACCAGCATAAGCTGAGCTGAAATACGATATCTATGTTTGCGTACAATGTTTAGTTAGCGGCCAAAACTTGCATTTGAGGTTTTGTTTCCGGTCTTTTTTGTGTGGGTCAAGACGTACCTGATCTCCAATCACGAGCTAAACTTCACACCATCCTTCTGACTTTTAAAGACTTGGTTTCGCTGTAGCCATCTACTGCTGAGACGGATAGCATAGGGGAAAGCATCCAATCGCCAAATGTTCCCACTTCCAGACGTCTTTTCTGAGGGGGGCTCGTTTACTATGGTCAAAGTGCTTTCAGTAGCCTTGTGAGTAGTGTGTTACGTCTAGAACAACGACCATATTGATAGAAGCAAATCCCACTATCCTCAGTTCGACTGGTCACTAATTTTGTGGGTGCATGAAGAAGCAAATGAGTCATATTCGCTTAATTTCGTGCAATTTGGTTTCAAGTAGAACATAGGGCTGACGGAAACTCGGGGACTTCGCCTACCTGATCAGCCCCCAGGAATGGCGAAACCGGTCGTGGGTTGTCGACGAATTTTCAGCAACCTTATGAGTAGTGCATTACAAATAGTCCACATCTCTGTTATGATGGCAACCTATTTGGTTTATCAGTGTGGAACACTGCGAAGCAGCTGCAAATCATTGGATCTCAGATTCACAATGTGCTCATCAGGTCGAACGAAGTCACTCGCACTTAAAAAGACAGAGCATGGTAGGAAGTGGTGATATGTAAATGGAAGTAGGGAAACCTAGAACTGGATACCCGCAAAGAAAGGGACCATGCTCACGCTGGAAAAGGACCACGATTTCTGTCAAATTCGACAGAATAAGACGGCAGAGTTGAGATGATTTCACAGGCATCAACAACTAACGTGAAATTTCTAAAGTCCAAACACAGGGTAGTGGAATAAGGTGTTCTAATCCAACGTTTCTGTTGCCGTGGGCAACTCCTATTCAATTGGTTGTAGAAATTCTTGAAAAAGGTTGCCCCTGGCAACCACCTCGCCATGTTTTAACTTTAAGTATTCCATATGATACACCACATGGTGCTCAATCTTTCAACACCGATTTTTTAAGCCACATTTGGGCCGGTATCCCTAAATCAACAACTAAAACTAAAGATTCAAATCTAATCGTAATAGTCACGGACAGTTGTTACCAGGTAACTAAAATGTAGTTACTGGAGAGCAAGACTGTGACTGGTTGGGCTGTCTCTTACCTGATATCTGCACAACATTAACGGGACGAATCTAATTTCGCGGTGAAAACCTTTGCTGCAAAGCGAAGAATGTTCTTTAGGAAAAGCTTTGACCATTTAGTGGAGCTGTCAAGTTTTCGGAAAGAATACAAACGTGTGAAGCATGTGCCACTGAAAAGAGCATAACTTCCAAGGGTCTTCAAAAAATAGGTATTTGACTTGTTATTCGCCAAACCAGAAAATACATTCCTTATATCCTTTAGGATTGAGTGAAATTTATTGTTTAGTGTTAGAGGAACACTCCGAAAACCTCCGAAGAAGGGAAATTCTACGTTTGAGATCATTTCGGTTCTTTTGATGAGTTTTACTGGATGTTGTCAGAACTCAACTCAAGCTCCTTTCAGTAGAACCGTGAAGGCCTTGAGGATCTGCTTAGACGAAAATCCCAAAACTGTTCTGAAGCACCAAAGACAGAACTGAATGCACTGGCGAATATCAGGTACTAAAACATACAATCGCTGTTTGAGATAGCCTACTCCGAAAAAAAACTAGGCCATCAGTGATTGAGCGCTACAAAAAATCTGCGATGACTTTTGAAAAATTAACCTGGAAATTCGGAGCAATATGTGTATATGCAAACGAATTTTCGGTGCCTAATTCAAACAGCAGCTGCTTCACGTAAGAAAGAGCAACTGCCAGTTATGTGGATGCGAACTAATCGATCGCGTCAGTTTTGTTTAAAATCATCTCTACAGGGGTTATGCGACTAATGGGAAATGAGCCATGCTTCTAGGCCTATTGTGTTGAGCATATGGTTGAGCAAAAGTCTTTTCTCAGTGTACAAGCAGTCAGGTCATTGCATCGACTAAGAACATCCGCCCCATGCTCAACGTTCAAGAGTTGAGTACGCTGAAGAGGTCAGATGACTGGGACCGACTCACCTTTCCGTTTGTGTTCGAGACTATTGGCCTTATTGCTTCGCTTTCCAATGCCTCAACGCTCATCTTCACCTTCCTGAGGCAAGCCGAGTGAACTTATTTTCTATAAAATTCTGTACAATGCGTTTCTACAAGCTTGCTCACCTGAGGCCTCGTGGATCAAGCTACAACCTACCCAAATCGTCTGCCAGTTGCATGTATTTACTCCCCTGAGCTCTCCATGACCCGCATAATTCTCTCCAGAGTACATTTGGTGTGTATATGCGTGGGCTTTTGGACATGGTCACTATCCGAAATGACAGTCGGATTAGCCGCTGATAGAGCTAGCCAGATTAGGTGCAACCGGTCGTACTTCAAAAGGCTGGAACTAAATGAAAAAACTAAGTTTACAAGTTGGGGGTGTTGAATCTAACTTGACCTTATGATAATTCCCCCATTCATTTGCTTACTCCGCCTATGTACTTTTGATCTCCAGTTGTTTTGCTTATTCGTATCCGGCACTCATCTTGCCGCAGAGGCCGTCCTTTCCGACACTTGTGTATTGACGTGTGTCAGTGTACGAATGTGCGCTGCTGACCCACTTTCCCATGTGCGCTCACGTCCCGTTTGCGGAGCCTCCCTTGACCTGTTTTCTCATGGGTTCCATGTGATCGCACGTACAATGAGAATCACGAGACCGTCGTCGAAAGGGACGACCGCAACCCACGCTACTGAGCTATCATTCTGTTCGCCGCTGTTTGGTGTGCGGACGTTGACACTGCACAGTGTCGGTCAGTGACAGACCTGTGAACTTGTTGACACTACGAACGTGAACAATTGAGAAATATACTCATTTGCAACTCAATTTGGTTCTCACGAGAGAGTCAACTGAATCTCTCGTTTATGATGTCCTCCAACTGAATGTGCTGCACACAGGCCGCCTCATGATTCAGTTGGCACGATATTCGAGATATCGCAGGATATTTTCATCAAGGAAACTACTGACAAGGTTGATGAAAACTCTTCCACAGCCCACGACCGGTTTCGCCCTTCGTGGAGCTCATCAGGTAGGCTATCCTATCCATCCCGCTTGCGGGAAAAACGAATTGTTGAAATGGTCATTCTTGATAATTTGTCCCAAAACAGATGTCAAAAACAGTCCAGCCGTCACTTGGACGAAAAAAACCGACAGACCACTTGTTCAAATTGGGCCAAACCGAGATACTCATACACAACTGACCGACACACGCAGTGAGAGAACGTGGGAAAGATGAAGACGGGAAGAAATTCTTGTCCTATTATCATTTACCTTTATCATTTATTTTTGAAGAGCATGGTCACAAACATAAAACGTGAATGCAAGCGATGAATGCGAAAGAGTAACAGGAGAATATGGGAGAAAAGAGAGCAACTTCTCATTCTAAATCATGCCAAGAACAATTCCAGTCTGATGAGATGAATCCCAAAGTATGTAAAGATTTTAGTATGGAAACACGCGTCTAAAGACAACAACCGAAGAAAGGATAAACAATGGTGAATGCTCTTCAAGGCGCGGTAGGCGCTAGCACAGTCAAGACTCGCACCTCAGGCACAAAGTGTCCGTCATACTGGGTCTGATGTGAGATTGAATGGCAAAGATGTACATTCAACGCCATGTGCCACGCATAAAAGTGTAATAAGTATGCCGAGAGCATGGCAAGCAGGCAAAGACACTATTTGACATGTTTGACATGATTCGATGCTTCAGCTCTCAAACTGCATAAAAAGAAGCAGATAAACATTGCATAGGCAAGAATGAGAGAGTCAGTACACTGCTCTATGGACTAGGGGCTGAAATTTCGCCCAATAGGGGTGCATAAAAGAAAGGGCCGTGATATATGTCGTGTTAACATGTTGATCAGACACACTTGGCCGACCAGTTCACCTACGCTAAAAAGAGGACAATCACTTTGAAGCTGTTGTATTCTCACTGGGAATCAATATGTGAATGTTCATTTGAAAATCCTCGGCTTACTTGAGCTCGAAAAATCTCCACTGGGAGCTTCAAAATCACCTTTTAATAAGCGGTGTCTGATCAAAAGCGAGACCGACTTGCACCTAGATATGATATAGCCACATCTGACCCAAAATCATACGATCCGCACCGCATGATCTGGCTTCAAGCGGCTCCGTAAATGACCACTTTTGACAGAAATGCTCATATCACTGGTGGGATTGTATCCTTTTTGGAGTTAGCTAGAAAAAAATAACGTTACAGACTCGGATTTCGTCCTGTTGTTAAAATCAACACATAGACAAAAGCTGGAATACACAGTTAGTTTGGACTGAGTTCGGTGCATTCAGCTATTGATCAGAATATCCACAACTTTGACATCTAATTGGTGCTATGAATAAACAGAAGAGCTCTTTGGTAGCAATAAGAAACTGACCCACAAAATGACAAGCCTCCTTCAGGTCTCCTATTGCGGGTTTCACTGACTTTCATGCCTTGGTACGTCGCGATTTCTCAGTCCCATACACCGTGGTTCTTCCCAACAATGAAAGTGGAATACTTAGAAGCATGGATGACCATCACCTCATATGGGGCCGTGTTTCCTTCGGACATTTTAAGATGATCCCTGATCCACAGCTTCTGTTCCAGCCATCCTTCTTGACTTGTTCGATCCATTCAACTACGGCAGTTCCCATTACCTTGCGAGATTTAGTTGTGCACTTATCATCTAATTAGCCTTTCGTATTCTAACAGCGAGTTGACGTCTGGCGAACGGACCAACAAACAAGCGGCACATTCGAGCCACCTATAAACCGCAGCATTGACATTGCAGATTCTACGGACAACTGTAAGGTCTACCAAGGAGATAGCCTGGGGGATAAGTCACCACGTCACTGTGTAATTTCTCTGACATCGTTGTTACGGATGAGTGAGGAAAGAAAAACATTTAACTTTATACGTGGCTGAATACGGACATAATTTGTCACGCATGGCTCAATGTGCGTGTATTCGACAGCAGCACTGTGTGTCGTATTTTTATCTAATGTCCCAACTTATCAAATATTATATTACGTGCAAGACATTCGGGGGAAACTACACTGTTTTATAGGTTCAGTTGACCACCGGGCTTATCGCAAGAGTCAAGCTTTCACAACAAAACCCAATGAGTTTGTGTTATTCACCATACAATAACACAGACTAAACAAAAACCTGGGTATTAATCTCATTAACTTGCGTGTCTGCACATTCAACTAATCCACACGTCTCCGAACTGACGTACCCAATTACCTATCTAACTAACTAACTAACTAACTAACTAGTTTACCAGCTTACTTATTTACTTTGTTGTTTACCCATATGCTCACTCACTTACTTGCCCCATGAATGTACCTCCAATCCGTTGCCCGTTTGGACACATTCATCAAGGTATCCGGTGGTCATCGTTCTCTTATCTTTTATTTAGAAAGCTTATTTCCTCGGACATGCCTCTACTATTGACCTGCAGTCTGCTGACAAGCTAAGCAGGCGCATGTCAGTAACTTGGACTATCATAGGTACTTCTGGCACCGAGGGAGATAATGGGCAATCTGAGTTACACCAAGTTCTACAGTGAATAACTGATGCTAGCCCGGGTAACTTTAACCATCTAACTGGAACGGGCAACACACATTTCGTCCTAACGGTAGCGAGCTCGTCCAAAAATAGCCGCTCGCCTCGGTGTTGGTTCATCACAGTTAGTCTGGCCGGCAAGCCGAATAGACCTTCATTTCTACACAGCTTCACCAAGGTCAGTTTTAACATATCACGAGCGGGTCTGTTGATTTGAAGGCGAAAAATGGCCATAAGGGTCGATTCAGGCTGGGGGAAGAATGTTCGCTCGACTTAGTTAATGAGTAGTCCAGACTACACGGTGGACATGAACCAAATGCTGTTTTGGCTGATGCACGTGCGCTGGAAGTCGTCTGGTCCGCGAGGCCAGCGATAGCCCAATCCCCTTCCAGATCTTGATGCGGTCATGTCCCTTGTGTACAGAAGCGTGTACTTTCAAATTGATCGTTGCTATTCCTCGTGGACGTAATATCTGATTCCACAAAATCTTCCACAGTTATTTGGTTGCCCTTAGCTCTTTTCAATTGTACAGCCTACTTGAATGTACTTTTGTACGAAAAGTTGTATTCTCTCACCAGTATTCAATCACACTAAATGTTTCACAAAACGCCAATTTGCAGTGCTGATGACCTTCGACTTTATCAATGCTTTGGAATGACATTTTGCAGACTTTCACACCCGCGCTGAACAGTTGATTTAAATATTGGTCAGAAGAGTACAATAAGTTTCAATGGGTTCTATCTACACGACATACCCAGTGTACTTTCCTTATAAGCGGCTCATGAGTAATGCAAAAACAGACTAACAAAAGTTACTCCACTTTGAAAAAAATATCAACTGAAATGAACACACACATTATAGCTTTAGAGAAAAATGAATCCTCTGATCAAAAGATGGTTTGTTGCTCAAAACCAGACACCGACAATCCATTGTTGGAGGTTAAGGCACTGAGAAAGACCGCTGTTGTCACCAACAGAACCACTGGCAATTGCCATGAGGATGGTGGAGGTAAAATAAAACAAAAGTGGAGTGTTTCGGCTAACACAATAGAGGAAACACTCCAAATTCATCATAGTGGTGAAAGATGTGTTATCTGCAAAAGTATACAGTTAAGGAACAGAGTGCTCACACTGATACTGCGGTGATAGAGATGCAGAATGAGAAAAAAGTGAGTTAAAGATATTCATTAGAATGAGCATGCATATACACAGAGAGTTTGCAAGGCTCAAGTGGGAAAATAGATTTAGGGCTTGCGTATTATGAATCCAATCGATATTTTCGTTTGAATACAATCGAAAACGAGTAAAGGTGATCATCTTCGCTCAGAATGGGCCGCAAAAATCCTGATCGATGCGTTGTAAGTTTGGGATCTTCCAGTTCCTGGCCGGTACAAATCATACGTAGGTACAAACGTAACAAAAAGGGAAACAGACAGTTAAGCATACGTTATAGATTGGAAAATCCTGGCTTATTCATGGGAAATGTCATTTAACTCGCAGCTAATTGTCGAGGGTATGTATGTGACATGGCTTTGTGTGGAACGAATATCAGGGACAACTCAAGATGGATTAATGAAGATGTTTTGCCCGCAGCTTTTGGCCTTGGTGAGTTTGAAGCCTGGTGTCAACATTTTTTGCCCGTCCCTCATTGCTTGCAAGTTCGTCTCAATTGCACCTATTTTCGAGCGTCCACTCCTACGGAGAAGCGGGCCGGCCGGGTATCGAACCCAGAATCCCTAGACGGGAGGCGGACGCGCCACCCAGCACACCAATCTGACAACCGATCTGGTCTATTATTTTGTATTACACATGTACCGCACCTGTCAGATAGCCTTTGGCGAGATTCGTTTTAGACGGACGAAACCGCGTAATCTGACCTGTCACGTGACACGAGCTGCCGCGTCGCGCCGCCGACCGAAAGACAGTCTCTCACATCCCGAATGTACTGACTCCTGCGTCGTTATCTCTCTATACGGCCAACTCATACTGTCAGACTGTCCCTATATGTACGTTGTACATCGTTTGGTACTAACATGCTGTTGCCTTTAGAACTCCCTACTGCGTCAGCGACTATTTTTGCTCCTGTTGATTGCGTCATTATCGATTGTACGTTTGCTTACTTCATGATGCTTACTAATAAGTTTGTCTGTACAACCAGTTCCTGTCAGTCCTCAGTATATCGTCTGCTGCCCCACGTCTGTCTGCTCCTACTGTCTACTAGCTACGAACCGCGTATAATCTAATAGCCGCAATCACCCTGTGAGATCCATAGCTGCCCGGATCTTGCACCCAATCTGCACCATTTGACGGCGTATCACGCGCAGACTAGATGGGCTAAAATGGAACTGTAAATTCGAACCCCGTCCTCAGCTCTGTGTTATCTGGTTCGTTTAGGAATGTGCTTACGTCAGTGACACTGCATACATGCTTAAAACGGTGGGCAACCATAAAAAAGCTTGGATCTGACACTTTGTCCTTATTTTACACGCATAAAAGAGGCGAATTTCAGCGACATTGGAAGCGGACCTTACAGCTGCGGAAATACTTTTGTTGGTCTTGCATCACTGTCTTTTTTCTTGTTTCTTTCTTACAAACTGAGTGGAACAGACATATCAGTGGAGCCTTTTTCTTATAAAGTAAAGAAGGATGATCCCAAGGACCTGAGCTTTTCAGCTGGAGTAACTCAGTCGGCTTTTGTTCCTGTGACTGCAGTGTTCGCAACGTCTAACAGGAAAGCAGGGAAACCGTTGTTGAGCTCACCTCCACAAC